ATATGCCTGTTCTCTTTAGACCCGTGGAAGCGCAGCAGAAGTGAGCCTGCATAGTCCTTAGATGGTCACCAACCGTGCACATGCAGCTTGTCATGCAGGATTGGACTTGCCTATGTGGTGGGCAGTAAAGGGCAATGCAGCTGAATCCATTGTTGTACTGTACATCTATGCATCCGCGTCGGATGCCGCCCGCCAGTGTAGGGAAGTATGGTGAAATAATCCTCACGAGCCGCACAGGCATGGGGAGATCTCCATGCAGCAGCGAATTGCCTAAAGGGCTGTACGTGTGCATACGCGGTACATCGTCGCAGACTTTATTTCACCAGGTGAGAACCCATTTCTTTTGCAAGGGTCCCCTGAGCCGAGGCATTCTAGCTGTCCATTGCTACACACTCAGGTCATGTAGTGCATCCAGTTTTTATCTCTCCACTGCTGGATGATGACCTCCTCCTACACCTGTGTGTATGTATCTTGAACTTTTTTCGCACCATACGTAGCCAATCGCGCGAATCGGAGGTGCGGGGGAAGGACAACAAACTAAACAAAAACAAGCACTTCTAAAGAAAGGAATTTTAAATCTAGATTTAATAGTGCATCAGCTCCAGTGACTTCCCAATATCGGATGGAAGAGCGTTCCAGACGGTCGCAGGAGCGCATCTGAAAGTTCGAGTCGTGAGTGATGTTTGACCATACTTCACCACGATGAAGTTGATGAATGTGGGGTTGTGAATGCGGAATAACAATGAATAGGATATTGCTGCGGTATTCCTCTTCTTGCTCACAACGCTGACTACACCTGTCTTAGGTGCGTGGCGGTGAAGCTTCCAAGTGCAGTACGAGACTCGTCTCTGCTCGAATTCAAAGATCTCACGAGATCGAGAGCATTCGGGGTGATTTGGACAGAGTCTTGACATTCACATTGACCATCGGAGTTAAACACACCGATTGTAGAATGCAGTACAATTCAATGCAGTCATAGTGTTAGGAATATAAAAAATTGCTGCGCGTTAACAAAGAATGCATTCACATCGTCGCTGGAATGCTGCTTGGCCTGGGAATGGCGAGGAGCCCATTACAATGGAGTCACTCTTGCGGTATGTCTCCGAGTACAGTGCTGCGTTAAAAATTCTAGTGACAGCATGAATGAAATGTTGGAATGTAAATATGAAATAGGCTGTGTGTTCATTCTTCGCACAGAGAGAACCCGTAATTGCGATTCATTTTCTTGGAATAATTTTCTGAAATTCCGTCAGTGGCGTGTACAATTACTTGAATAAAATAGCTGCAACAATAGGAGGGGGGGGCTAAAGCGTAATTTAAATTAGGCAAGCGCTATTTGAGCTGATATTTACAAGGTGAGAGCTGAAATGGTTTGCGAATGCTCACATCAACCGTCAAAACTTTCAAAATAAGTGCTGGTTCATGGCCAGTCTGCGTCAAGTCAAGTTTCAATTTTCTCTCGTAATATGAATAAAATGATTATAATTTAAGTGTGCATTTCTAAATTAAAATTTCAGCACAGGCTTATATAACGGACACAAGTGGAGGGAATTCATTCGGTTCCATCCATTATAGAAGTTGATGGAAGGGATAGAATGAATATGGGCTTAGATACACACATGCATTTGGTTACGTAATCAATATGTTTTCCACAGATCTAAACATTTTCTTTGTCAGTTAATAAAAATAATTGTAACATACGAACAAAAATCCAACCATCGTTGCAGTTCAGTGGACATAATACAGCAATATGCAGCGTGCTTCAAATTTTTTTAACACTTTACACGGGCCAATTGTTTTAAATTGAAAATGAACGGATAACACACTGTAACATGATAACAAGTGTAATGTTAATAGCTTCAAAAAGTCAAAGAGTCTCCACTTGTTCGCCATCATTGTCAACGCGTGCCTGGAATATTTTCCAGGTGGTCTCCAGAGCCAGGACCCAGGAGGCACAATTCTCGTGGTATTGCTGCAAATCCTCAAAAGCGTTAACATTTTTGTTTCTATTTAAAGCTTTCGTGACTGCAGGGATTCATATTATTGGTTCTTTCGGTAAAGTCACGTAGAAGGGAAATACTAAAAAAAAAAAGTAAAAATAATTTTATTTTATTTTATTATTTCCCTTCTACGTGACTTTACCGAAAGAACCAAGAACATTTTTGTTTCTATTGAAACAAAAGTGGCACATCGGGCCACGCAACTACCAGCGTCTGTCTTTCCGCAGACAGAGGCAATGACTGTTGTGGGCCGCTGCCCTGATTCTGACCTCCCCATTGTGGGCCACAAGCCATCCCATTCCCAGGGCACCTTGCTCAATAGAGGAAGGGGGGGTGGGGGCGCTCTGGTAAAAAAACGATTTACACCGAACCATTTGTGAGATTGGGCAGAGGATAGCAGATGGGCCGGCTTCCTCCAGAAAAGCCTGAGAGACAACCCTTTCTGCATCACCTCCGGGGAGCCCTCGTGTGTGTGTGTGTGTGCGTGGTGGGGAGTGGCGGTGCGCCGGTTAGCGCTACACTGCGCTACGAAACTGGCGACCAGAGTTCGATTTCCGCTCACGGCCAAAATCAGTGACGATTATCTGAACCGGTCCTGGGGCCTCCCCTAAGTCGACTCGGCCTCAAATGAGTACCTGGTGTGTATAAACATCGCCGATAGGGAGACAAAGGCGGCTGGGCGTGGTGCTGGACACCCACCCCATCGTGTGGTACTCTGGTCTTCATAGGTGCTCGCTAACAGCGTTTGCCCCAAAAGTCTGTTGAGGCTATACGGGGGATCTTGTCTTTGTTTTTTTGCGAGGGGTAAAACTGCCCGTACTTTAACTTTTGCATCTCTGTCCGAGTTGTTGCTTGTTTCGCGTCACCAACAACAGTCGCTTGTTAGAATGCAAGAGCCGTACCGGGAGTTTACTTTCAAAGGAAGCGGATCGCTTCAAATCGCACGGCATTCAAAACACAAAATCACGGTTGCTGAGCACGGGGCCCACGTTGGCACGAGATGAAGGTGTAAATAGATAAGACTTTTGCCGCGTTACGTCTATTGATTTGTTGAGCGGAGTTGTGAAGAACTGAGCGTTAGATATCATGAGATGGAAATTCCAAGATCGAGCCTTGCGAGGGCACGTGGCAGCAAGAGAAGCGCTGTGACCCGCAGAGTGGTGGTGGTCGTGTGCACGCTCGTTGAACTTCTTTCGCACCGCACGTAGCCAACCCAGCTAATCGGAGGTGCGAGCACGGTGTAGCTGAGACGGAACAGTAGGCTGCACCGAGCCTGCAACGTTCATGGAGAAACGACTGCAGAAATCAAATGCATGCAATGGAATATATGCATGTGCTGCGCCTCTGATCAGCACGGTCGGATACATACGGTGCCGTACATACGTATGAACATTGAAATGTTGCTTCATTACAATCATATAACTCGCGAGCCTCTCTACCGTTCAAGTCCCAGAGGGGTCGGTCGACTTCAAACACAGCGCGCAACTTCTTCCAGTCGTTTGAATGTGAAGTCTCTCGGGTGTCACTCCAAGGGAGGCTGCCATGCGAAAAAAATGTGACACGCTAAACAGGAGTGACCCCCCCAAGGAATTGTGTTTGTAGTTAACAAGCCCAGAGCTCGCTCTAAACCATCGCCTTAACAATGTGTCGTATGGTCGGGGTTAGGGCAAGGGTTAGCCTTGCAAAAGGATTACAGCACACGAGTGTCTAATACATGGGTGCGCTCGCAACGGAGTGACTGATGTTAATTATAATGATGTTCTAAGAGAGCTGGAAAGCTGAATCGTGGCACAAATATATCTAAGTCTATGCCTTCGTAGCCGAGTCTCTGCTTATCTCATCAAGTCGAGGAATATAATTGTATCTATGTATGAGAAAATTGCAATTCGGGCCCAAAACGATTACAACCTAGAGGTTGATTTCTTTTACTCGTAGGGCAGAGTAAGCCTAAATGTCTGATCTACTTCAAAGTCTCATTCTAATATTATAAAGCTACACAATGTCCATCATCAGTGAAACAGGTAATTTACCTCCCATGGAATGTGATGCTAAAGCCAATATAAAGTTGGAAAATCCATCTAACAGTTACTCCTACCCAAACAGTCGATTATTTTTTACGTGTAATCCTTTTAAGATGGAATTAATGGTGTTTTTAGTTGTTAGCAGACCTATGGAAATATCTATCTCCAGATCTGCATAATAATTCGCAAATTTGTGTCCATATATAAAAAAAAACATATGCCGACAACACTGTGTGGCCTGAAATAAAAAAATAAAATAGGCGGTGTTTTTTTGTTGCAATTACCCTTTTTTATAGCACATCCTATGAAGAAGCTATGGAGAAGGGACATTGCCTGAAATGCTGCCTATTAGTATCATGTTTTTCTTTCTTTCTTTCAAGGCCACAGAGTTCTTGACAAATGTGTTGAGCTGCTTTGCTCATTGTATTTGTGCACTACTGCCCAACGCAGCATCACCAACTCATTTTATTCACGTACATATATTTGTTCTAAAATTCATTGTATTTGTGCACTACTGCCCAACGCAGCATCACTAACTCATTTTATTCACGTACATATGTTTGTTCTAAAATTCATCTGAGACTGCGTCTCCAATTTCAATACATGGCAATTCATTTAAAGGCTTCTGATCTGTATTTTATGTAAATGAGGTCTCAATTACAAAATAATACAATACCCCTTGGTTTATTATTGAGCTCATTCGGCCTACCAACTGAGGCACTGCTTATGCACTCTTCCATTTAAAATCGCACTGCCTGTGTAAAAGTGTAACTCAAGCTTACCTCGAATTATACAACAGATAGGCATGTGTCATCGGGGAGAGGTATTTGCTGGGGTAGCGTTGGGGGAGATGACTGGGAGAGGCCGTTGAATCTCAGTGGGCTTCTGACCAATGTTGAACGTGGCCCTTGATGTCTGGAATTGTTTAAGGCGGAGCGGGAGCACGGAGAGTATCTCACTGCTGTGCTGTCCTTCGCAGGGAAAATCCTGTTTCGGAGGAGTCACATCCGCGATGTGGCAGTCAAGAGGCTGAAGCCCATCAACGAGTATTGCAGGGTAAGTGACGACATTTGAAATGCATGAATGCAGCTTCTGCAGTGCATCCACACACATGTACAACAAAGACAAAGATCCCCCGTATAGGCTTAACAGACTGTTGGGGCAAGTTGCTATTAGCGAGCACCTATGAAGGCCGGAACGGTACACGAGGGGGTGGGTGGCCAGTACCACGCCCGACCGCCTTTGTCTCCCCAGTGGCGACGTTTACACACTGCAGCAGATACTCATTTGAGGCTGAGTCGATCTAGGGGATGCCCATGACCGGTTCAGATAATCGTCACTCGTGTTGGCCATGAGCGGGAATCGAACCCAGGTCGCCGGGTTCATAGCGCAGCGCGCTAACCGCTACACTACCGCTTCTCACATCCACACACATACACGTTTCCACCCACACGCACATCTACTTTTCCATTGTATGTATATATGCGGATTCTGCACACATAAGTGGCCTTCGTGTTTTAAAACAAATTTCTGACAGTTAGTCAGCCATAACTTACAGTATATATGATTACTAGGAATGTAATGAGTCTAGACCTGGGCTGTCCGATTGTTTAAGTACTGTAATCGACTACTTTATGTGGTGGGTTGCGGTTGCAGTGTGTTTTTTTTTGTGGTGGTGGATTATTGGGGTGGGTTGTGGTGGTCGTGGTGGTTGTGCTGTGATCATCTGTGGTCGAGGTGGTAACAAAAATAGGTCTTGTGCTAGAGGACACAAAATTAACCAGAATATTAATTAAATCATGTACAGTACATGTATAAAAAACAAAGAATAACAGATTTTTCAATCTATGTTCAACCCTGAATCACCTGCATGGGACTGGTGGATCGTCACACCCTGGATGGCTTTAGCACCGAATAGTTACGTGAAGGTATCTTACGTCATCGAAATAGGTCTCCCTGCAAAAGTGACATTCGCTGTGGGGATGGAGTTCGTGCAATCAGCTCGCGTGCGGAAGCTAGAGGGATTATTGCATCGAGACTTGTGGAAGCCATCATCCAGCAGTGGCTAGATCGTGGCTGCTGCTGCTGACGATAATGATGCGAAAATGATCTGCAAAAATTAGCAATTACAACGCCTAGATCCAACTGTCTATGGAAAAATGCAATTATTGAAGGTGACCAGAGTTCATATGGTGCTAGCAACTCGTTGACAAAAATGTAGGCAGACCACAGTAACATTCCAGCTTGGGTAATAATGCTGAGGGTTGTGAACTAGAATTTTACACATTTTGTTTGGGTCTAATGGAGACTGTCAGCTCCCTTTGTCGCAATGCTAATGGGTAAATCCGAGAAGCTTGCCTGTAATAGAGCAGTACGTTCAAATAAACGGTTTGAGCATTATAATTATACTATTCAAATTTCAGCGTGGCATGAATTGAAGATTACGGCCTGTAGAGTGATTTAGCATACTTCAGTTCACTTGTTATTAACAATGCCCACCCATCCCTATGGCAATGGCATCTTTGTAATAATTGAGCTAAGTTTTATCAACCCATGCTTACCACTGGAAAATTCAGAAGGGAAAAAAAAAACCTAATAATAGTTTTCTTTGTGTTTAAAGTTAGTGCCATTTGGTAGCATGTTGTTAACTTTATTAGCTGTGTTATTAACAGACCTATGAAAATGGTTTTGATGGTGTCAAATAAACATCCAAACCAATTATACCCGCATTGCATGGCTGCCCTGGTGTCGCGGTTAGCGCACTGGACTTGCAATCCGGAGGTCGCCAGTTCGATCTCCCGGGCACGGCGATTGAAACAACGGTGCAAGTTTCTAAACCCCTCCTCCACCCCCCCAACTTCTGTCTACCCAGTAGTATAAACGGGTTCCACCATAGTGGATCGGGAAGGTGGTGCGTTCAGATTCAAGTTATTTGTTTGGCCACAGTGAGAACTCAAGAGACCAGGATAGAGGAGTCGCACTGGCAAGAGTGCCTCTGACCCTGGGTCACCAAAACTGTTGTAAAATCAGAACAACAAAAAACAAACACTGGCTAATGTGGGGGATGTCGTGTTGGTGGGGTAAAGCGTGAGTATTCCCACCTCTTCCAAGGATAGGCCAAAATAATATCTGGAGGGCCTCTCTGGAGCTCCTGCGAGTGGAGTCCCTACCGTCAGCAGCAGCATGAGCACGAAATTGCGGGGCTGCTCTTTTACCTGCATGGGATTTATGCCCTTATGATCATTAAATATAAATTGTTCAGCGGTTTTGTTTTTGTGTGTGTATGTGTGGCGCTTGGTTATCATGTGCAGAATTCTTCGAGTCTGCCCGTAGGGTGATATTTGATTTGCATTTGGCTTTTTACGTTGTATCTTTCATGTTTTGCTAATTGCTCTCAGCATTTTTTAATAGCTGGGGGAAAACACTGAAAAGTGTGGAATTGCATAGTTGCATGATGGAAGAAATGCTGAAAAATATCCAGAAATCTTAAAACTCAACCCAACTCGGCTGGGCTGCCTTTTACCAAAGGTCAGTCGGCATTTCTGGTTTAACCTTTTGTGACACAGCTGATGGAATTACATTTCAGCTACGTGGCGGCCATAGTATAATTAAATATTTACGCGTTTGCACGGTGACAACCATAGCAACATTAACATTATTATTATTATCATTCGAGCCCCCAAAGTGATTGTCTCTCGATGGGGTAGCTGGCGACTTGGAGTGTTTTTTTTTGCAGCCCTGCTGGGGGCTTATACATTTTTAGAGCAAAGTAAAATAAATTCGGAACAATATTTTTACACTGGGGGGGTGAGAGCTCGCACAGAATTCAAGGAAGATGAATGCGGATCGGGTTGTTACTCGTGCTGTTTAACATTTTCATTTGTTTAAAATGTATCTTGACTGTGTCATGCCCCCCCACCTTGTAAGTTTAAATAAGCTCCCTCCCCTTAACCAAGGTGATGCTACACGGTTGCTTTCTAGTCGACATCACAATTTTGCCTGCACGTCAGGACACATTTTAATTGCATGCTCTCAACTGTTCCGCAGCGTAGGTTACAAATGTCAATCCTTCACGAGGCTGTGTTGATGGTAAATTTCTGGTGGGTGGTTTGCGGGTCCCTCGGGGTCATTGGCAGCATTGGAAATTGATCTCAGGAAAGCTGGGTTTAGAATATATCCACACAGAGTGTATAATATATTCGCTGCAGTATAGCGGCCATCCTACCATGTGCATATATTCACGAAGGGATGTAAGGACATTCTCACACAAATCTAAGGCTGTGTTTATTTAGATCGCGTTCTCTACTACTAATATATAATTCACTGCTGTATGAAGAAGGCCTCCCCCACAATCTGCATGTCATACTTGACCACACTTTGTCACGCTGGTCAGCGTGGATCGGTGAATTTTGGGCGACGTGGCATCAAGACCGGTTCAGATATCGCTCGCTACTGATATTAACTGGTGCTGGAAAGCAAACTCAGGTTACCGGGTTCGTGGTGCGACGCTAAATTTACTTGTACCGCTGCTTACTAGCATGATGATGCAATAAAATTGACGCAATGGGTTAATATATTTAACTAAAATTTCGAAGAAATCCGTGCGAGTCGGTGTGTACAATTAATATCCAATTTTCAGATGAGATATTTGTACTACTTATTATATATATTTGTGTATGTGTGATCATGAAAATGAGCTTCATGCCTTTGTTAATGATCGACTTAATAACGTTTTGTTCCAGCTGCGAGCTACCCAGCTGTGCGTCAGTGTTATTGTCACGTTGGCGGAAAATAAACACGCGTCGTGGAGATTGGAAGTTGCCTTTTGTTGTTGAGCCCAGAGCTACAAACAGCCGATTTGTTGGCATGAACACATCCTTTCACAGCAGTTGTCTCCGCTCTGTAAACCCTGCGAGCCTTGACGCCTCGTGAGTGTGGTTGATTTCTATATTTGGTTACATCATCTCTGTTCGACCTTGTGATGCAAATGAATTTAGACATTTGAAGGTTGTAGGTACACTTTAGTTTTTTGCGTGATTTTCTGCTCAAAAGAGCATTGAGGTATTGCTCATCGCTTGTATGCAGCCCTGAGCCAGCGGTGGACAATCCACATTCCTGTGGCGGGGGCAAGTCTATCCAAAGAACAACCGCTGCTGACTTTCCCACAAAGAAGTACTAATTTTTTTTTATCAACTCCGGAGGGATGATGGCCCAGCTTAACCCCCGACCAGGAGTTGAACTCGTCAGTTTTTCCACTGCGAGCCCCTGAACCGGCTGTAGGTGGGGAGGAAGCTTCCTAATGTCGCTGCAATATCGCCCGCCCGTGTATTTCTGGTTCTCAGTTTGTCTCCGGCTTTCACGTCTCACTCCATTGTCCCAGTGCAGCTTCGTCATTCTCCCAAACAGCACAGCATGCAGCCTGTGCATTTATCTTATCTGTTGGATGTGACCGGAGATGATGAGAAAATGTGCTGGAATGTTGCCTTCGGATGGGATCGAGGTGGGGGTTTGTTATTGTGCTGCGTAGTCGAGTGTCAGCCTTGTGTAAGAGCTTGCACTGATTACACTGTGTAACCAAAAAAATGTTGTTCCTGGGTAGTAAGTGTTATTTCCTAATTGCTTATGCCTCAAAAGTACAGAAAATGGCTATTATTCCCCACGAACTTTGTTTTGTGACCAGGACAGTGATATTTAGAAATGTACCTATTTTCAATGAGAAAACGTGGTGTGCATTTGTGTCTTGCATTCATGTAAAGTCTTGCTCACAAAAGCAAAGTTTGTCGGGGATAATATCAATTTTCTCTACTCTTTAGGCATAAACAATAAAAAAATAACACTTAGTACCCAGGAACAAAAATTGTGTTTCATGCTTCTAAACGTTGCCCATTGTGTTGGGCCCACTTTACCTTGTGCATTGCGATTAATAATTCACGTCAGACCGATATTTAACACTTTCCGCCTAAGGCTGCATGCAGGCTGACATCGTTAATGCATTATCTCTGCCCGCAACGAGGGAGCACTTCTATGACGCTCGTGGCGATTGAGGTCGTGGGGACTTTACCCGTTTGATGTCCGGATTTTCCAAAACTTGGAGACACACATATCAGAGCAACAAGGACTCTCTGGAAGTACCGCTAATTTTCCTCTTGACAGTTGACCATCGTCAGATCGAGAACTCCGGGGCCTTCTCGTGTGCAGTGAGTATGGCCGTTGATCATACTTCGCCACGCTAGTTCTGTAAGAATTGAAGGGAGCACATTTATTCCCGCAGAGTTACCCGCCTGATATGGGTGCCCCTATCCAGTCGAGCTACTCAGGTCTACAAGGCAGTCGAGTCTCTCCACCTCAAACTAGAGGACGTCCACCAAGAAGATGGAGTAGGTCCTTGGTGGATTATGACATCACAGGATCACGGGAGGAGGTAGCGGATTGAGGAGGCCTTCATGCAGCGGTGGAATAACCATGGTGATGATGATGCTGCTGGTAGTGCAGTGGTTATCACGCTGCACTACGAACCCGGCCACCTGAGTTCGATTCTCGCTCACGGCCAACACCAGTGACGATTATTTGAACCTCCCCTGGCCGCCTTTGTCTCCCATTGGGGAGACAAAGGCGGCCAAGCGTGGTGCTGGCCACCCACCCCCTCGTGTGCCATGCCGGCCTTCACAGGTGCTTGCTAACAGCACTTTGCCCCAAAGAGTTTGTTAAGGTTATACGTGGGATCTTTGTCTTTGATTCTGCTGGTGCTTCAACAGGATGGGGTACCAAGGTGGTGAGATGTTAGCTACCTCGCCTGGTATACAGGAGGTCGTGGGTTAGATCCCGACCCTAACACCTGCTGTATATTTCGACTTTGCATGTTCTCTCCGTGGTGTCATTTTTTTCCGGGTCTTCTGGTTTTCCCTCCACATTTAGAAACATGCGTTTAGAGTATTTGTCTGCTATAAATTTCCACTTGACAAGCCACTTCGTTGAGTAAAGATTTGTGGCGAGATCGCTTCCGATAAACAGCTATGTAGCTCAATGGACCTTACCTGGGAAAATGAAAGGGAGTTTATTTTAGTTTTAGGATACAAGTCAACGTCTGTTTGTCCCCACAGGCTCTGGTGCGATTGCCTGCCCACATCTCGCAATGCCCCGACGTGCTCAACTTCTTCGAGACCAAGCCCGAAGACCTCAATCCACAGCGAGGGTAAAAACGAGCGTGTGTGTGCCCTCGCGTCCTGTGGGGAGTGATAGTGTAGCGGTTAGCGCGCTGCGCTACGAACCCGGCGACCCGAGTTCGATTCCGCTCGTGACCAACATCGGTGACGATTATCTGAACCGGTCATGGGCCTCCCCTAGGTCGACTCAGCCACAAATGAGTACCTGGTGTGGCTTGTAAACATCGGCACTGGGGAGACAAAGGCGTTTGGGCGTGATATTGGCCACCCACTTCCTCGTGTGCCGTGCCGGCCTTCTTAGGTGCTCGCTAACAGCACTTGCCCCAATATCCTGTTCAGGCTATATGGGCGATCCTTTTCTTTGCCCTCGCATCCACGCCAATCCTAATTCCCAAAGCCGTCAGCTCGGGTTTAAAATGACCGACCGTAGCCGCCAGCTCTCCACCGCGTGCGCCCGCAGTTACCGGGCGAGTTGTTGGTAACGGTTGATTTGGCAAAACAAAAGAGGGAGAGAGAGAGAGAGTGTGCGAAATTTGTCTTATTTTTTTTGCGGGTGAATCGAAAAAACTTCGTGGCAACTTTATGACACTTGAAAGCGTCGGTCGTGTATCGCAAATTGCGTTTGTGTTTGTTCCAAGCAAAATATTCATTCCAACCCATCATGATAGTCCTCCAGTCGTGCACTTGCTCGTTTCCATCGCGATTGCGCAAAGAGAACTGTAATGGTAAGAGAATAAAAGGCGCAGCCCTGCAGCTGCTCGCTCACGCCACTGCTGGCAGAAGGGCCTCCAATAGGAGTAGCTCTAGAGAACACCTCGAGTATATTTTTGGCCTACTCTTCCACACCACACACGAACTGCGCTGTGCCCATACTCTTTGGTTTTTCGGTAAAGTCACGTAGATTAAAAAAGAAAACAACTAAATTAAATCACGACGTTTCGGAGGCAACACAAGCCTCCGTCTTCAGGTGGAACCGTCACAGCAGAATTACTGTGCCCATTTACGCTGTCGGGTGGACAGAGGCGGGGAGATTTGAGAACCTCATGACACTCTTTCAACCGCTGAGCCAGGATATCCAATTGAAGCCCAGCCCAGTGTGCGAACCTTTGCGCCACCGCAGCATCCACGAGAAATGGAAACACTTAAAATTGCTGCGACATCCCTCGCGTGTGTGCGCGCCGGCTATGCGGAGCGGTGGGACAGTGGTTAGCACGCTACGCTACGAACCCATCGAACCCGGGTTCGATTCCCGCACGCAGCCCAACGTCGGTGACGGATATCTGACCGGCTTCTGGGCCTCCCCTAGGTGGACTCGGCCTTACATGAGTACCTGGTGTGGGTGTGTGGTGCTGGCCACCCACCCCTGTGCGTGCCGTGGCAGCCTTAATAGGTGCCCGCTAACAGCACGCAAAGGGCCTCTATGGGGGGGAGGGGGGTGAGATCTTTGTCTTCGTGTGCCGGCTATTTTCGAAACGAGGAGAGTTTTGGGCCATGTTTTGGTGTTTGGCGGATATGTTTTTTTTTACTGTGGAGGAAAACTGGGACAATAACCTTCAAGTGGCCATCACCGTCCCCAGAGACTGACTTTGCTAAACAGTGCGATCCTGTTACGACGGAAATGTTCGTTTTACTCCGCTCCAGGCCGAGGCTGTGGATTTCCGTTCGCTGGGAGAGGGGTGGGTGGTTGCTCTCGCACTCAAGAGTGTAACGTTTACACCCGCACGCGTTTTGCTTCGTGGCATCGGGGTTGCGCGAGGAGGAATATCGACAACTCAACCCCATTCCTTGAAGTTTTCTAGAAACGCAACTAATGAAGTGTGTTTCCTGCATTGGCGCCCATGGTGTGTGACGTAGTCTCCAACTGTCACGCAGTCAATCTCTCACTGGCATCCTTATCTCTCTTCTACGACGGCCAATTGCTTGAAACGTCGACCGTTATATATGTGTCCCTCTTCATGGGCAGTGTTGTTGTTGACGGACGTGTTGAGATTTTGTTGATATTGTAGAAACGCTTAGGGTGCAGTTTCCCCGTGTGTCCCTGCAGTGATGTCTTCTTCTCTGCACTACAAGCGAGCCTTGACGTTTTAAACTGACCACTGTCTGGTTTTTTTTTAATGGGGTTCTCCTAAGCAGCTGGGCTTAAACTGGTTAATTAGTGTTTTTCTAATTAAAGAGGTCCCTGGAGTGTCGAGCGCACCCTGGCGTCAACTGCTCGCATCTGGACCACACGCCGCCATTTTTTTGCAGTCAATCCACTGCTGGATGAGGGTCTCCCCATGCAGTGCTGGTGTTGCAGGGGTTGTTCGTCCATACTTCACCACGCTGGTCACTGCGGGTCAGTGCGTTAATGAAGGGATGCAGTCTTAGATGTCCAGTGGTGGCCGTTGGGTAAATTCGGTGTATTGGTGGGGCACCACAGACTGCACTGGAAGGTGGGGAGGGAGAGGAAGGAGGGCGATAGAGGAGGATGCAGTTTGTAATCTTTATAAGAAGCAGATAAGTATTGTTTACAGTGTCCTGTACCTTTTTCAGTGTAGCGCCTGGCCCCACCGGACCCTAATGACAAGCCGTCGCCGTAGTGATGAAGTATAGTACAACAACGAATGTCCACCACTTAGACCCACGGCCCCATATAACAACCAGCTTGTGCTTGGAGATCATTCGTTTAAGCACCATCCAGGCACTATACAGGCCTCAGTTAGCTGCTCAGCTTCTCTGCTTAGATCCAAAGAGATGGGGTGGTGGTATTCAGGGTGACTTGGGCTTAGACATCGCTGGTAACGCGACTCTGCTATTTTGGATTGGAGTTTTCGCGAAGGAGATGTCTTCTTGAGACGGGCGCTCGGAACTGTTTGGAATCCCTCCATCAGGAGAGTGTGTTTAGAAGTCTTCTTACAATGAGGCCTCAAGCAAAGCAGCCATTTATTTTTAAACGCACCGTTTAAGCAAGCCCCCCTGTTTTGTGTTGTGCCAGATGTGCAGCAGCGTCGGCGTGACGGCCCAGGTGCCGCCCCCCCCCCCTTGTGCACGGCTTGTTTCCTCTTCGTTTAAACCGTCGTTCAAATCTCAACCTGGATTTATTGGCACAATACACGGAGCCAGACGAAGGCCCGATTGCCGCCTCTGGCTGTGCAATTTTAGAGCGCGGTTTTTTTCTCTCTCTCTCTCTCTCTCTTTCCGGAGGAACTGGCGCTGGTGGCTTCAGACGGCACAGGCCAGTGGCACAAAACCCATTAAAACCTTCCGAATGTTTGACGTCTCCATCGTCCTTCCGTGAAATGGGTTTGTGTTTGGCTTTGTGATGGATTTCATAGAAAAGGGGGAAGGGCGGAGGGGGGTGGAATTGTAATTTTTTTTGACATTCGACGTTGCCGTTTTCCGGAATTGGTTGCGATACGTCAATACAATTCACTTATGGAGTTTTATGGGGTGCGCTTACAGTTGAAATGCCATAACGCGTCCAGCTGGTTTGCTCTCAATATATATCCGTTATGCACAATGTATACAGTGTATACATGCACGCGTGTAGATGTAATTTGCCGTTGTCGATTAAAACAAAAAACATTTAGATAATTGTGACGGAGGATTTCGCCAATTAATTAGCGTTGCGTTTCAAAAAAAAACCCACTTTCGTGTATCGTACGCATCCAACATAATCTAATAAAGCAACCGGAGATTTATTAACCATTTTCTATCAAGCTCGCCGTTACGCTGTAACCTTCCCCATTAGGTTCACGTATTGTTGCCTGTCAACTGCCCCGAAAAGCCGACACACATAACACAGCGCCATGCCCACGCGTAGGCTGCAGCGCCACCTGGTGGCTGGGGGCTGACATTAAAGACACGGCACACAAATCGTGACGTGAAATCGTGGCGATGTGTCACATCTTTAAATCATATACGTGCACACAATACTCTTATTCTATATTGCATTATTCATCACGGTCAGCTATGATGGAGGCCTACACAATCCGACACCATCCCTCACAGGGTGGTGACGCGGCCCAGCGGTAGTACTTTGAAGAAGTTTGCGGCCAGCCTGGCTATTACATTGCAATTCTACTGCACGCCATTTGCCTCACAGTGAACTTTAAAGATATTCTTAGGTTTTTTCGGTAAAGTCACGTAGGTAAAAAATTAAAATTAATAAAAGTGAAATAAAAAATAAAATAAAAATAAAAATCACGACGTTAAAAACTCGAACAGATAAGTGGAATTCCTCCCCGTAGAGGGCATTAATTCTAGATTTGAAGCTTTCGTGACTGCAAGGATTCATATTCTTAGGTTTTTTCGGTAAAGTCACGTAGGTAAAATTTTTTTATTAAAATTAATAAAAGTCAAATAAAAATAAATAACGTCGTGATTTTTATTTTACTTTTATTAATTAAAATTTTTTACCTACGTGACTTTACCGAAAAAACCTAAGAATATGAATCCTTGCAGTCACGAAAGCTTCAAATCTAGAACTTTAAAGATGCCCTGACAAGAGTGTACCCTGCGTCAGGGTCCAAAATCGAAAATCCCTCGCCAAATTACAGTACTCTAAATCTTGCAGATTAGACTGTCCTGGTCCCTGGAGTTCTCACCTCCGGATAAACCAAACGCGCTTGAAACTTGCACTCGTGTCCCTGTGATGCGGCAATCCATCTGACGTCTGCTCGTGAGCCGGCCACGTCGCTCCATCTCTGCTACGGTCATCTTTTTGGAGGGCGTGTCGTGTGCTCCCGCCTTTGGCTGCCATTCCTTCACTAGTCTCATCCGTCATCCCTCTCTAACGAATGTGTCCTGCCCAGGCTGGCTAACTGCCGTTGATTTGCAATTGTTCTCCTAAAACCCCGTGTTGCCGTCAGTTTAATTCAGAACACGCATCTCTTCACGCTTGCTCTTTTTGGCACATTTATTTAGCGTGCGTTTAACTCTCGATATCGGTGCTCAGGATTTTGTTCCATGCGTCATAGTGGGAAGTATACAGTGAGAATTATTTTATTATGTTTTATTTTTATTATTTTATTATTTCCCCTTCTACGCGACTTTACCGAAAGAACCAAGAAGATGAATCCCTGCAGTCACGAAAGCTTTAAATCGAAAAGTATACAGGCATTAACACTTCGGCATATATTGATATATGAATTGCTCTTCAGACAAACACTTCTCAAAATAAATTTGGTGTTCTGTCCACGACAGGACTAAACAACACACATTTGCCTTGGCACAAAAAGAAAGACTTGCTTCTTAATAACTCGAGTACGTTACTCGTATGGTTAACACTTCGCTCGTTTAAGTCGGTGTCATGTTAATGAACGAAGCGTTTAAATTGAAACGCTTTGGCCATTACAAATTTTATGTTTCAGTTTACCGTGACCTTATGAGTGTGTCTGTGCTCCATTTAGGATGGCGCACGGAATAATGCACGTGTGTGGGTTGCGTTCCCTGAAAATGCATTTCATTAGTTGGTTGATTGACCATAACAAACAAAAAAACCCGATCGCACATTTCACACATCACTGGTGACTGCCGATTCCAATCGCTTCACAATGCGATCTCGCGTCGCGTTATTTGTATGTCCAGTAGGGGGCACTTTGTGCCTTTGGCGTCTCGGAGGGAGGGTGGGCACGGTGGTAACACAGCAAGAAAGTCCTGGGTTCGATTCCCGACTCGGACGCTTTCCTATGCGGCGTTTGTATGTTCCCCTCCCCCCCCCCCCCGGTTCTGCGTGGGTTTCCACTGGTTTCCTCCAAGAGCTAAACCCCCCCCCCCCCCCCCCCCATAAAATGTAACTTATATTCATAATACAAGTTTTTTTGGGTTAGATCACGTAAGTCCATATTCTTGGTTCTTTCGGTAAAGTCACATAGATAGAATTTTTTTTTTATTAAAATAAAAGCAAGAAAAAGCGGTCTTCATCACACAAGCGGACTTCATCAGGCGGAGAGAAAAAGAGGGGGCAAGCCTCCAAATGCAACTGCTTATAAGGGCTTTCAAAGCGAGCAAAGCTGTGTGGGGTAGATGCGATGGCGTCACTTGTGCTCTTCGTGCGCGAAATGGAGGTGGGGGCTTAATGCATATCAATGACTATGGGTATCCATTAGCCGTTTGATTTATTTATATGGTAATCAACATAGATTATGCATGTGTATTCTGCACACCCAATATTATTGTGTTTCCTGTCGATTGTGTGTACTAAAGTAGCCGGGTGGTGGCGAGTTTGTCGACACATTTATCTATTTATGAGATCTAATCCTTAAAAAACCTGTATTATGGATGATATTGGTCTCGTAAGCTTCCTACGTGTTAAAGTAACTGATATTGTCTTATTGGTTCTTTCGGTAAAGTCACGTAGAATGGAAATAATAAAATAATAATAAAACATAATAAAATAATAAAAATAAAACATGATAAAATAAAATAATTATTTTATTATGTTTGAATTTTATTATTTCCCTTCTACGTGACTTTACCGTAAGAACCAAGAATATGAATCCCTGCAGTCACGAAAGCTTTAAATCGAAATTTAACTGATATTGGCTGAACATCCCAATGCTGAATTCATCATTTGGGATTGCACAGGACCTTCTGTGAAAATCTTGGCAGGATTCCTCCTGAAAGCCAGTCTTGAGACTCGGTTGAGGCTATCCTGGCTAACAAACATAGTTACAATGACGTGACGATGTGAATGGACCGCAGCTAATCTTGCTTGTGTTGTGTGGTTTGTTTCTTCTTCCAGGGAGAATGATAAGAAGAGAAATTCCCAAGGTAATCGACTTTTAAAAATTATGTATTTGTATAATTGTTGCGGTGCTTTTGCGTGTCAGGTAATGTGTGAATGGTTTTCGTTGGTGGGAAACAGATGGCTGTGTTTTTATTTCCATGAGTAGGCAGTGCTGCAGTTGCGCCTTGAGTTCGATTCCCAGTCGTGGTGAGCATCAGTGGTGCCGCGGTGGTGAGATGTTAACTCCCTCGCCTGGTATGTGGGAGGTCGTCGGTTCGATTCCGACCCTGACGCATGTACGCTTGGAGTTTGCATGTTCTGCCCGTGGTCACGTGGATTTTTCTTTGTGTCCTCCGGTTTTTCCCTCCACATTGAGAAATATGCTTTTAGAGTATTTTGCTGCTAAAACTGATGTCCACGTGGTAAGCCACTACGTTGGGTTACCATATGTGGCCAGGTTGCTTCTGAAAAAATGGTAGGCAGCCTAGTGGGCCTTACCTGGTAAAATAAATAAAAAAGTACTGTAGTGTACATCTTCTTGGTTCTTTCGGTAAAGTCACGTAGAAGGGAAGTAATAAAATAATAAAACATAATAAAATAATTCTCACGTTTCGGCCACAACGCAAGCAGCCGTCATCAGGTGACTTTACCGAAAGAACCAAGAAGATGAATCCCTGCAGTCACGAAAGCTTTATACTGTAGTGTAGTTTTATAGTTTTTTTACTGGACCCGGGTGCCCTCCTTATCCAACCTGCACTGATCAGCGCGGTCAAGTATTTTGAAAAAAAAAACCCATGACCAAAAGGCATTGGTTGGTCTTCATCCAGCAGCGCATTCACAAAGTGCTGTACATTATATATCAATGTAAGCAGCGTAACATTTTCTATTTGTAAGGTGGCTTTCATTCTGTGCATGTCACTTAGTCACTGAGACCATCGGTTTCATATCCAGAGAAGAGAACGAGCAAAAATTCTATATCGGGAAATGGAAAATCACATTGTGAAAGTAAACCCACTTCGTGAGACACCAATATCTATGTTTGTGTTTACATAATCAGAATTCAGGCTGCCCACTGCCGATGTTATTATAGCTCTCTAAACGTTCCCTCCGGTCTTCGTTTACCAAATATAGCCGCGTGCAAAACAGAAATCCCACACGCTGCCACCATCATCATCGCGACGTGTCTCGGGGAAACGCGGCTGGCAGCGTGAAAGCGCTGCAGCAGTGGCGGGTTTGACTTCCGGCACTGCCGTGACGTCACGGTGGCACTCGCCATGCGGCATTGAACGAATTGCATCACAGAGCGCCCGAGGAACGATCCTAATTTTCCATAGTAGAGGTTTTTTGTGGACACATTAAATACGCACTACAATGACAATAGTTTAAAAGCGATTTGAAGCATGTTTGATTTTTTTTTGGGGGGGGGGGGGGGGGGGGCAGAGCTTTGTGACGTCATATTTGAGGGGGGGGTCTGACTTTTTGTGACGCCGTGTGACGAGGGGGGTGGTCAGAAATCGTCCATAATCGTGTGACGTCATTTATGGACGGCCCCTTAGGCCCACTGAGCTATACAGCTCTTTTTCAGAAGCGACCTGGCCACAAATGATAACTCGTGGACATTATCACCTGGACATTTAAACCAGCCAAACACTTTAAATGCACGTTGATTCTAAATGTGGAGGGAAAACCGGATGCCGCGCATAATTCACGCGACCAAACTCTAAATATACAGGTGTCAAGGTCGGGATCGAACCCATATCCTCCTGTACACCAGGCGAGGTAATTAATATCTCACCATCACTGTTTCAACTGCCACGCTGAGAGATTGAATGCAACCTTTGTTCTAACCATTACACGGTGTCAACATATGTAGTATATGATAATAACAATACATTCATAATAATACAATAACAATGATTAATATTTTACAGCCCTTGATCAATATACTGCTGGATAAAGGCCTCCTCATGTCACGTCAGTCATGGGGAGGCATGGTTGACTACGTACGGTGCAGAAGAAAATCAACATAGGTACATGGAAGTTGTTTGACCTTCCTTCACCACCTTGGTTGTTGTGAGATGACCAAGATTCAAAAATCAGGACCAGTTGCTGCTGATGTTAACGCTGGCCAGGAAATCAGCCTCGGGTTGCTAGCTTCATAATAGTACAGTAAACGAACCACTCAAGTAAAAAAAAAATTGTTCAACCATGAATCTTCAAGAGGGACCACATTAAGTGTAATTGTCAAGAGTGACCTGGGTCACCATATTGAAGATAGCAAGCAGAGACATTAGAACAAAAATGTACCACTACTCCACTGTGCTGGCAGTCATAAAATATATTTTAAATATCTGACAAATATTACGTTAGGCATATTAGGAAGCCGTTTTCCACATATGCTCGAAAAAAAGTGGAATAATCCAGTCGTGTTAGCGTTAACTATACACATGCAATCATGAGTACTGTGTAACACCCCAGTTGGTCCATATGTAATTTTAATATGCTGTGTATCCTGTGTAGCAGGGAGCGGTAGTGCAGTGTCTTCTTGGTTCTTTCGGTAAAGTCACGTAGAATGGAAATAATAAAATAATAAAAATAAAACATAATAAAATTATTCTCACGACGTTTCGGCCACAACGCAAGCAGCCGTCCTCAGGTGAAGAACAGGTCTGTCGAGAAGAACAGGTCTGTCGAGAAGACAGACCTGTTCTGCACCTGAGGACGGCTGCTTGCGTTGTGGCCGAAACGTCGTGAGAATTATTTTATTATGTTTTATTTTTATTATTTTATTATTTCCATTCTACGTGACTTTACCGAAAGAACCAAGAAGATGAATCCCTGCAGTCACGAAAGCTTTAAATCGAAAGGTAGTGCAGTGGTTAGTGCACTGAGCTACAAACTCGGTGTCCTGACTTCGATTTCTGCTCACTGCCAACATTGGTGTTGGATATTTGAACCAGTTCTGGGCCTCCCCGATGTTGACGCAGCTTTAAATGAGTAACTGCTGCTGTGTGTAGACATCAGCACTGGGGAGATAAAGGTGGCTTGTGTTAATGCTGGCCACCCACTCTCTCGTGTGTCGTGTTGCCCTTCATATGTGCTCGCTAACAGCACTTGCCCCAACAGTCTCTTAAAGGCTGGACGGGGGATCTTTGTCTTCGTACTTCATGCACGTGAAGCGTGCTCCGATTAGCCTGTTTACAAATCAAAAATCAATCACTGAGCATGAGGAAGAATTGAGGGATGGTTGCAGGCGGTCACGACCTAAAAGGGCATTGACTGGATATACGCTATTATCGCATTGCAGGCCATCATTGGCCATGTCCACATTGCTCAATACTTTGTTTATAGTGTTCATGCTCTCACGGATTTTGCTGTCAGCATGACGGGTTCGCGTGCAGCTAATGTCAAGTGCACCACCGCGAGGCTACGATTCGTATTCATATTAAACGTTGTCGGGCACATTTAACGAATGCGCCTCAAATCGAATCCGTAGGGTGGTGCCGCGTGAAGCGCCCCTCGATAGATTGAGAAAGTTGCGCGGCGATTAATGCGCCTCGTTTAATACGAGTCTATAATGCCTCCCTCCCTTCCCCGTACCTCTCAGCCACGTGTATTATTCATAGTTTGGCCCGTGTTTATTGTCGGGGCCTAATGTGGCACGCATTGATTTTTCTCTGATGTTGCCATAAACCTGCCACTTCGCGCAAGCAAGAAGTAAAAAATGAGCAATGGACCGTTTTTTTTGCTTTGAAAGCCGCACATTGAATCCATTCAACTTCCTTCGGTCACCTCCGACAGAGCATTGTGGAAACTCAAGTACAGCTTTGGCTATGCATTTCGGCTTCGTTAAAAAAAATCCCTGTAGTATTCCTCGCGCATGTGCGGCAGGATTGTGCGGAACATTTGAAAGTGTGTACGGAAAGCGTTGTTGAAGCACTGTGCGTACGGCCGATGTTACTGTAACACAAGTTGGGCCCCTTTCGCGTCATCTCCGCTTGCCCTCCTCCTCTTGTGTTTCACGCGAGGGGCCTCGTGCTCATCACACTCGTGGCTCGTGTGCACCGAGAACAAGGAGTAAGAGAAAACACACAAACCCTCGTGTAACAGCACAGGCGTTGTGCGTGTTGTTACACAGCATACACGTCCGTGTCCATCACGTAACTTGTATATTTGAAGAAGCGCTGCCAGATTTTAAAGCCACTCATCTCCAAAGATGAGTGGCTTTTAAAATCTTAAACGTGTTTAGAGTCTTTAGTTTTGCATTTTTGCAGATGGAAATCATAAGATATTTTCAATTTTATTGCCGTTTTGTGTCTCCTATTGAGTCTTCACTGCCACAGCGAAACACTGAACAAGCCCTGGTTGTGTCCTTCTAATGAACGGTCAATTTCGAGTTGACGCATTCACATTTAAGTCCCATTTCCTTTATGCTGTATGAGTGGGATCCATCCCGGGGCAATGGTGTCACGCTTGAAAATCAATGTGCGCATAATGGCTCAGCATGTGTTCCCAATTTGAGAAGACCTTTTTATCTCCAAGGCCTGCCCTCGAGATAACATTCCAGAGCCCTCTGCTATAGGACTCGGTGTCTCTCGCTGTAATTACCAAGAACCAGATAGAGATTCCTTTGTGATTGTTGAAATTAATTGGCGTTATATCATTTGCACCGCTGCATTGCTGGCGGAAGATTATGCATTGGCGCTTTTATTTATATTTTAATGAAAATGCGTTTTGTTCATCGTCCACATAATAAATTAGTATAATGTATTCGCTTGTGGATTAAGCGATTCGCGAGCAAACTATTTAAATCATTTGTGGTGGCTGTCACACGGACACATTTTCTCATTAACCGCACGTCGGCTCGTGAAGTTTCATCTCGTGAAGTCTGAGGCTCAAGTTCAGCGAACGCGAGCAAACTTATAATTGGCAATATTGTAACGCGCGTCAACTTTTGCCGCTCCACATGAGACATTTACCACAATCAGTCAAGCGGAGTGCATTCATTACAGCCGCCCACGGCATTGGCATCAAGAGCAATAAA